GAATAAGCCCATTGAGGAACTGGCAATATAGATTAGCAGTAGAGTGCTTGCTTAGCAGGTGTGAAGCCCTGGGTTTGACTCCTAGAACTGTAAATCAGCAACAGCAATCACAACTACTATACAGCCAGGCCTTCCCATCAGTACTCTGGGAAGCTGAGGCAGGAGAACTGTAAATTCAAACCCAGCCTGGGCAATTTAGCAACAACTTAGCAAGACCTTGTCTCAGAATTTTTTTTTTTTTTTTTGTCTTTTTTTGAGACAGGGTCTGGCTATGCAGGTCAGGCTGGCCTTGAGCTCACTTTGTAGCCCAGGCTGGTCTCGAACTCACAATGATCTTCCCACCTCAGCCTCCCGAGTGCTGGGATTACAGGAGTGTGAGCCACCATGCCCTGCTCCTGTCTCAGAAATTTAAAAATTACAGTACATGTGAATCCTAGCAGCTAGGAGGCTGAGGCAGAGGATCACTGGTAGTTGAAAGCCAGTCTGGGCATACAGGGAGCTCAAGGCCATTTTGGATTACATAGCTCAAGATCCTGCCTCAGAAAAACCAATAAATAAATACAATTTAAAGGATAAAAAAGGCAGAGGAGGTAAAAATGGGGCTACGGATGTAGTTCATTGTGAAGGTTCTGTGTTCCATTCCCAATAAATAATTCAAAAACCCAATAATTCAAAAACAAAAGCAAGCCAGGTGTGGTGATGCATGCCTGTAATTCTAGCACTTGGGAGGCTGAGGCAAGAGGGTTGTTGCAAGTTTGAGACCAGCCTGGGCTACAAAGTGAGCTTAAAGCCAGCCTTAATTGCATGGTGAAACCCTGTCTCAAAAAACAAAACAAAACAAAACAAAACCCAAAAACAATAAAACAAAAAAGCCCCACTACCATATGTCAGGGGTGAGAAGACTAAAGGAGTTTCTCATGTGTGAGTACCCCAAAGAAGGTCATCGAAGCAGATATCAGCCACATAGCAGGAGCAGGCAGCTGAGCACAGCAAGAGTGCAAAACCAGGGTCTGGGGATTTAGCTCATCGGCATAAGCGCCTGCCTTACAAGCAGGCAGTCGTGAGTTCGATCCCCGGTACCGATGAAAAGGAAAAAGACAAAAAAAAAAAAAGAGTGCAAAACCCACCTGCATCTTGTATAATTGTTTTTTTTTTTTTTTTTTTTTCGTCTTTTTCCTTTTCATCGGTACCGGGGATCGAACTCACGACTGCCTGCTTGCAAGGCAGGCACTTATGCCGATGAGCTATACCCCCAGCCCCTACTGTATAATTCTTATGCAGGTTGTCATCTCATTGACATTTATTTTTTGGTACTGGACATCGAACTCATGACCTTGCACTTGCTAGTCTTATGTTGCTGAGCTAAATTCCCAGCCCCTCATTTATATTCTTACATGCTGGATTCACTGGCGCATGTGTAGTTGTTCATTGCTAAGCCATGGTAACATAACTGCATCCTGCTATGCCTTTGTGCTAGACAGTGGGATCACATCCTCAGGTGTCCTTAGATGCCCGAGCTCTGAAGCAGTCTGAGTGGTTCCCCACATCCCACCTCCTCAAAGGTCAAGGGTATATAAATGTAACATTCTATATATAACAGGGCACAAGTGCCTCCCCATGCTGCAATCAGCAAATCAAGAACCATGTGGTTTTGTAAAACCACCTTTCTTATTTGAGAAGTTTTATTGATAAGCAACATCAAAGCCTGACATACAACAGTTGAGGCCTGGGTCATATGTTGAGCAAGGGCTTTGTCTTGGTTACTTTTTCCTCTTGCTGCTGAGACAAAATACCTGATGCCCAAAATGAAGGAAGGAAAGCTTTATTTAGCTCACAGTTTGTGGAGGTTTCAGTCCATAATCTGCTGGCTGGCATACAGAAGAGAAGCAACAGTTCATAGTGGCTAAAGACAGCAAAAGCAGTAAGAGCAGGTGTCCCTTGTATCGTATGTAGGTTACCCACCCCTAAGGAAGGTGTAGCACTCACACCCACAATCCCGACATTGGACCATGTATCAATCACAAACTCTAGGATCTTGCCCCATGACTACATGAGGCTTTGTGGGGGACATCCAGATATAAACCAGAACAGGCTTCAACCTGGAGGGCTGTTTATGATGGTTGCCCTTGGTCAGATGCTACTCCTAGCAGCATCCCATATGCAGCACTCAATATTTTTGGTCAGACACCATTCCTAGCAGTCAACCATTGCAATGCCTGGTCAAGACACCTGTTAAATCATTTGCTGGTGACTGGAGGGGCTTGTGTACTGCACCATGATGGCCTATATAGCTTTTTGGCCATGTTCCCATATGTCTTATCACACAGTGCCCTGTCACCACTGAGCTGCCCAAGCTGGCAGCCAGAATGTCAGCCCCCTTAAGCCACCCAATTGTCCATGCACACATGCAGGGCATCTCCCTCCTGCCTCACAAGCAATCATACTGTCATCAGTTCTGCCCATTGGTTTGATCTGGCTCTTCTGGTCCCATATGGGGCTGAACAGTGACTGCTGTCCACTGCAGGACTGGGTCACGGCAGGAACCCTCAGTATATCCAGTGGAAAGGGGAGGATCCTTCTGTGTAGGGCTGGGGCTTGTGTCCCATCGTCTGTCCTCCCTCATAGGCTCCTGGGTTGTGTGAATCATGGGTCCCAACTATTCCCTGGTCAACTGCTAAGGAGCTCCTTGAGGAAGAGGCCTGCTGTTGAGGTACGTCCCCTGCTGTGTAAGAGTGGGAGCCTGGGCCGCCCCACTTCTGGAATGGGCAGTTTCTATCCCTGTATTTGTACTTTGTCTGTACTTTCACTGTCTGTTGTCCTGTGACCCCTCACAGGCAATGCAGAGCTGTGTACAGTGCTGTTTCACAATCGGGGTGCCAGCTCTCCACAATTGTGACCAAAACCCGCAGGGTGGGGCTAGGGATTGAGCTCAGCAGCACAGCACTGCCTGGCAAGTGCCACGTCTTGAGTTCGATCCCCGGTACTACAAACAAAAAACACCCACAGGGGCTTTTGTTTCCCGTTTTTGCCGTAAGTTCCAGCTAAACCCAGTATTATCCATACTGTTAGGGAAAATCGCAAGCTAAGGTCAATGACTCAAAGGGCTCATATCAGTATAACTGACCTTTTGAAGTTCTGGAAAGCACCTTCTGCTGTGTCCATCTAGCCCCATATTATGTCCAACTTGGTCATCTGGTATAGAGAGCACAGCAAGGTGGCTAGGTGTGTTATGTCTGCCAAAAACCTAGCAAGCTTGGGGCTGGGGATTTAGCTCAGCGGCATAAGCGCCTGCCTTGCAAGCAGGCAGTCATGAGTTCAATCCCTGGTACCGATTAAAAAAAAAAAAACTAGCAAGCTCACAAATGCCTGTAATTGGCATATGGTCATGGGTCTGGAGTATGCTTGGATCTTATCAATAACTACTAAATAAAAAGTTTCACTCAACCAGACAACATGGAAAATTTGACAACATGGAAAATTTGACAGACAAGCCAGTTCCCTGAACCTTTTCTTTGTCTACTGCCCACACCCATGCCAGCAAAGCTTCTTTCAGACTGTGCATGGCGGCTTCCAACTCTGAAAGGTTAACATAATATTTATTGGCGTCTTGGCCTAGCCCCAGTCTCCTAAATGAGTGGGCAGTGAATGGTTTATTTTTTAAAGGTGGTCTCACTATGTAGCCCAGAATGGCCTTGAACTCACAGCCTCACACTTGCCAGGCAGGTGCTCCACCACTGAGCTATATTCTCAGCCCCTCTGAACAGCTTAAATAAAAGAGATCAATAGTATGATTTTGGAGTATCCAGGAAGGTCAGAACTCTCAGGAATAAATACAGACAGTTATTCGAGTCTCTCTAGAGGGAAATCAGCGCTTCAGAGAGATTCAGATTGTAATTATCACCACCCTACCTAGTGGGCACCTAGTGGGTGCAGACAGGTATCCGACGCATAGGTGGGTGACCAGAACATCTGGACCCAACTCCCCTCCTTTCTCAGGAATGCCTTTGTCTTTTTCAGTACTCTGCTGCTTGACTTGCTTCCCTACTGGATCATATAACTAAGCAGCTATAATTGTAATCCTATAGGTTGACAGTAGTCTGACCCACATTGTACTCACATTAAGATTTTGCTGTATAAATTATCACTGATGGGGCTGGGGATTTAGCTCAGCGGCATAAGCACCTGCCTTGCAAGTGTGCGGTGGTGAGTTCGATTCCTGGTGCCAATAAAAACGAAAAAAGACCAAAAAAAAAATTGTCACTGACAAAGAGCTTCAGTGACCACTCACTCCACAACTCTCCTGGAAATCCAGGCTCTATTTTTCTCTATCTCCAGTAAAACTCTTCTGCCTTCTCACGTTTGCAATTCCTTCCTCCGTGTTGAGACCATGAGCTCACTACGTCTGACATCTTAACAGGTTGCGAGTTAGGTATTTTCCCCACGACAGGTGCATCACATAGAGCCTGGGCCATTTACCAAGAGCTGTAGCTCATCACTAGAGCATTTGCCTCCGAGGTGCAGAAGGGCCCGAGTTCAAAATCCAGCGACCACTCCTTTCCCAGCCACACGCGGGGCGGGAGGAACAGGGAGAAGGGAGCAAATGGGCTTGTTTCCCCCAGCATCGCAATCAGGGAATGCCAGCTCTCCTTTACAAATGTGTTTGATTACTTTCCTTAACACTTTTTTTTTTTTTTTTTTTTGTCTTTTTTGAGACAGGGTCTCGCCATGCAGTTCAGGTTGGCCTTGAGCTCACTTTGTAGCCCAGGCTGGTCTCAAACTCACAACAATCCTCCTGCCTCAGCCTCCCGAGTGCTGGGATTCCAGGGATGTGCCACCACGCCCGGGCTATAACAGTAACACTTTTAGAACGGAAGTACAAAAGCCAGTTATAAGAACAGCCTGCAGCGGGAGTGAAAAGGGGAGGGTAAATTTTATGTATTGGTTCTTTGCTATATATTTTTAATACCGTGAACCAAAGCAGAGACAAGACAAATTTGACGACTAAGAAAAACTTTAACAGCACAGGAAGTGGGGCGAAAAACTGCTGGGCTCTTAAAACAGCAGTACTGACAGGAGATACAATTTAGCAAACAAGGCGACGCCACACCCCACCCGACCTAAGGACCCCTGCGCGTGCGCACACGCTCCCAACGGCCAGGTCTGCGCGTGCGTGCCCCTGCCCCAGGATTACGTAGGCCGCCCGCCGGGCACGTGCACGCACGTACGCGCGCCCTCCACGACCCACGCCTCCGACGCGGCCATTGGCGGTGTTTGGGTCCCGGAGGTGAGCCCCTGGAAGGCAGGGATTCTGAGAGGCCGGGGCGAACCTGGAGGCGGGCTCTCGGCGAGCCGGACCGCCGCCGGAGATGGAGGCCGGGCGCCCGCGGCCGGTGCTGCGCTCCGTGAATTCGCGCGAGCCGTCCCAAGTCATCTTCTGCAATCGCAGCCCTCGCGTCGTGCTGCCCGTGTGGCTCAACTTCGACGGCGAGCCGCAGCCCTATCCGACGCTGGCGCCGGGCACCGGCCGCCGGATTCACAGCTACCGAGGTACGCGCGGCCGCCGCCGCGAGCAGGTGCCAGCGCCTTGGCCTCGCGAGCTCTTCTGTCCGGGAAGTGCGGCGCTGTTCTTTCCCTCGCGGCTAACACGGTCGGTGCTGCTCCGCAGCGGCGCAGCGTTGAGGAATGCTGAGGGGTCTGCATCCGAAGGTGTTTTTACTCCTTCGAAGATCTTGTGTCCGTCGCGCATGGACTCCATCCTCAGAGACATCTGTGTAGTCCTGCCACCCTACGCCCCCCCCCCCCCCCGCTGTGGACAACTGCTTGGAAGGGCACGCACGGGCACGAGCCCGCGTCACCGAGGGAGGAGTGTGCGGGTCCGCTTAGGGAGTGGGTCTCGGAAGGATGGGGGCAGGATGAGCAGGACTCAGCCAGGCCGGATGAGTGCGAGGTTTAGACACGTGCTAAGACCCGGAGCCATGGCAGAGCGGGTGGTGGGTATGGAATGGTGGGCGAGGAACCTCAAAAGGTGGTTTTACCCCTAGGGAGATACAGTTGGATACCATTGTCGGATTCACCCACTGGGTGGCTCACTCCAGCTGCAGAGTGGCTTGGAGGGAAGACCACTGGTGAAAAGTGGTTAGGGGACTGTTAAGCCAAGTGAGGGTGCTGGCGGTGGAGCCCCTGGGCTCCGTAGTGAGCTTACGGCCAATCTTTTCTTTTTTTTTTGTCTTTTTTCCTTTTTATCGGTACCGGGGATCGAACTCACGACTGCCTGCTTGCAAGGCAGGCGCTTATGCCGCTGAGCTAAATCCCCAGCTTACAGCCAATCTTAACGACATAGAGGGACCCCCGTTTAAAAAAACCAACAAAACAGAACAACAACAAAAAAGACTGGTTAGGACTGACTAGGCTTTTAACTAAGGGGATCTTTTTCCTGCCCTTGTGGTGGAGTAGCCCTAGCCTTCTTCAATTTTCAAAATCCTTTTTCTGTTTTGCCTTTTTTTTGAGATGGGGTTTCACTATGCAGTTTAGAATGACCTTGAACTCACTTTGTAGCTTAGCCTGGCCTTAAACTTGTGATGTTCCTCCTGTTTCAGCCCCCTGAATGCTGGGATTACAAATGTAGGACACTATGCTAGGCAACCCTTCTTTTCTTGCTTGAACTACTGCGTCATAAGCTAATACCTTCCCCCTTTCTCTCTCTCCCCCCCCCCCTCTTGTACAGGTGGTTGAACTCATGACCTCACGCTTGCTAGGCAGGCCCTTGTGCCGATGAACTATATCCCTGTCTCTTATTTTTTTAAAGGAAAGGAATGTCTTCATTACTTACAGTTCTGGAGTCTGGAAAGTCTAGTGTATAGGAACCACCTCTTGCTGCAACACAACACCGCAGAGTGCATTACAGGGACACAGGGCACCAGACTTTTTTTTTAAGTGTGGTCCCAGACCAGATGTGGTAGGAGACACTTGTAATCTCACCACCTTGGAGGCCGCGGCCAGAGGATCGCCACAAGTTCAAGACCACTGGAACTACAAAGGGAGCCTTTGTCTCAAGAAACCAAAAATAAAGTGAGATCTTACTATGTAGTTCAGGCTGCCTTGAACTCTCAATCTCGTGCCACAGCCTCCATCTCTATTTTATATAAGAAATTTTGTGAATTTTGTGGTCTCTAAAATTTACCCTGTGCCTAATTTAGTACCAATTTTATAAAGAAAATTACTATGTGGGTGTACTTGATTTCACTGAATTGTACACTAAAAAATGAGTTAAAATGGGCTGGGCTGGTGGTTCTTTCCTCTAACACCAGCTGTTCAGGAGCCTGAAGGAGGAGCAGTGTGCATTTGAGGCCACCCTGGGCTACTGGCAAGATTTTGTCTCAAAAAAATTAAAAAACAGGGGTTAAAAGTGTAGCTCAGTGATAGAACACCTGTCTGCCTAGCTTATATGAGGTCCTGAGCTCTATGTTTGTCACTACAAAGTAAATAAAACACTCAGAGGTGTGAGTGGAATAGTGCTTGCCTAGCTTGCAACTTCCAGAACTGTAAAAAAGCAAAGTTAAACTGGTAAATTTTATATTACCTATATTTTGCAACAGTGAAAAAATTACTTGCAAATTTAGATTTTTAAATCTGTCCACCAAATCTTCAAGTAAGTTTGTTTGTATGTTTTTTTAGGCTGGGTTTTTACTATGCAGTTCAGGCTGGTCTTGAACTCACTTTGTAGCCCCAGGCTGGCCTTAAACTTGAACTGATCCTCCAGCTTCAGCCCTCCTTGAGTGCTGGGATTACAGTTTTACCCCACCTGGCCAGGCTAAATAATAAAGCCTTATGTCAGATTTTTTTTTTTAAATTTTTAAAAATTTTTTTTGGTACTGGGAGTTGAACTCAGGACCTAGTGCTTGCCAGGCAGGCTCTGTGCTGCTGAGCTATATCCCCAGCCGTTCAAGAAAGTTTATGCCCTAGAAAGGAGTGCTGTATTTATGCTGAAAGAATACACTCCTTCCTTAACATGTTCTTGCTGGCCTGTGCTACTGGTGGTACATGTGTGACCGTTTGATCAGGCAGCTTGAACCACTGGCAGTGCACGTAAGTATCCTGTCTGGCAGCATGGGACAGTTGTGTGTATTTCATGCATACAAACTACAGCCCCATGTGAATGTGTTAGATGGGATCCTGATTGTCGGGGTTTGCCTCTTTCCCCTTTTACTTTATGGTGTCTTTTTAAAATTTAGGTATAATTTACACAATAAAATGTGCAGATCTTTGGCCTTGATGAGGTTTGGTAGTTGTACACCTAAATCAGAACATCTCCAATATCTCCGCTGAGATTCCTCTGTCTTCTACTTCCCCCCACACTTCCTGTTCTCACAGCTTTGTTGATTGTGCCTTTTCTGTCTGGCTTCCTGCGCTCAGGGAGAGGTTTGGGGAACCAATGGCCTTATCACTGCAGTGCTCTGTGTAGTTTGCAGTCACCCACTTTGTGTAGGCTTTTTTTTCACTATGTTTGCATACTTGTGCCTGCTCTTCTGCAGTTTCTGTTGCCTTGACAAATCACTGGGCCTATCAGGCCTGCTTTCTTACCTAAAAGCGGGGCTCATGTAAGGGGTGTGCTGTGATGTTCCTGGAGGGGCTGTGTGACATTTAAGTAGAGTGAGCGGTGGGAAGTTCATGTCAGTAAGGGTGCATGGGGAAGACAGATGCCTTGACGAGGTCACTGGGGCTCCCTAATGGCTTCTGCTCGTGTGACAGGTCACCTTTGGCTCTTCAGAGATGCAGGGACATACGACGGGCTTCTGGTTAACCAGACAGAATTATTTGTGCCGTCTTTGAATGTTGATGGACAGCCTATTTTTGCCAACATCACACTGCCAGGTACTGATGGTCAATCATACTTTTGATAAATGTTGTTTGTTGTAATAAGTAGTGGATAGGTTATTTGAGAATGGAAGATTAGCTTCATAGTTCAGTATTTGTTTAAAAATCAAATTACTAGTTGAAGTTAGACTTACCAAGACCCTATCTCAAAATTAAAAATTTGAAAAAGGACCAGGGTTCCAGAGCGAATGCCATGGGTTTAGTCTCCAGTACTGCAAAGATAACTGTAGTGTTATACATTTATATATAGATCCTGTCGTGTTAAACAGGTGGACATACAGAAAAAGTATTGAACATTGTTAAGTTTGGTAAACTTTGCCTTATAGGATACTTTTTTTGTTTTGTTTTGCATTTCTGGAGATTAAACCTAGGGGTGCTCTACCTGAGATACATTCCCCACCTGATGTTTTTCTTTTTCCTTTTTTTTTTTTTTTTTTTTTGAGACAGAGTCTTGTTACGTAGTGCAGGTTAGTCTTGAACTTGCTTATGTAGCCTATGCTGGGCCTTGAACACAGCGATTCTCATGCTTCAGCCTCAAGTACTGGGATTGCAAGTGTGCACCACCCCACCTAGCTATGATTTGGTTTGTTTGTTTGTTTGTTTGTTTATTTTTGGTACTGGGGTTTGAACTCATGACCTCATACTTGCCAGGCAGGCACTTAACACTGCTGAACTAAACCCCTAGCCTTCTTTTTTCTTTTTTTTTTTTTTTTTTTTAACTTTTTATCAGTACTGGGGATCGAACTCATAACCGCCTGCTTGCAAGGCAGGTGCTTATGCTGAGCTAAATCCCCAGCCCTAGCCTTATTTTGTCTTTTTTGAGGCAGGGTGTCAACTGCCCAGGCTAGCCTCAAACCTGTGAGTGTTGTATACATGTAATGAATGTAGTGCCTCCATGGGCTAAGGCAGGAGGATCACAAGTTTGAGGCCAATCTGGGCCACTTAGTAAGATTCTCTCAAAATGAGAAAAAGTTAATGCCATATATGATAGAATATGCCTGTAGTCCCAGTACTTGGGAGGCCAATGCAGGGAGCTCACAGAGTTCAAAGCCAGTGAGTTTAAGGCCAGCCTGTGCTACATAGTGAGAACCAGTGTAAAAGGTGGGAGAGGGTCCTGGGAAACTTGGAAATGTAGCTTAGTGGTAGAATGCCCTTGGAATCTCAATTCCAAGTACAGATAGGTAGGTAGATAGGTAGATTGATTGATTGATTGATCAGTTGATCTCGGGTTATAGCACAGTGACAGAGCACTTGCCTAGAATGTGTAAGGCCCACGATTTCATCTCAGCACTGCAAGGAAAGAAGTACAAGTTCCCTAGTGAGTTTAAAATAGGAACTGAGTTACTAAAAAATTGATTTTCACAGTCTTTGTTGATCTTTGCTATGTGACACCCACCCGAACTAGTTATTATTTGTTGAGATTATGCAGCCTGAGCTGTGCTCAGCCAGGTGGTAATCCTGCTTCTACTGCCAGGGCTCTTTTCTGGATGGCTTTGGGGTCTGTCCCCTACTATGATTTCATCCACAGCACAGTATAACACATTGTTGCTGGCTTTTCTTAAGGCTTAGGCTAAGCACGGCCAGGATTTCTTCATGCACATGCACACCATGAAAGTTACTCACTTAGCCCTCTTTCAAGCAGATATTACTACACAGGGCATGAACACTGGGAGCAGCTGTCGTGCAGTGCTACTATAGCATGTGCTCAGCTTTTGTTATTTATTTAACCTACATCATTGGTGTGCTTGGCGCCCTTGCTCACCTTTGTCCCGAGGCCTGGTTACCCCTGAGGATTTGGTCTCCTGCCTTGCAGTGTACACCCTGAAAGAACGATGTCTCCAGGTCGTCCGGAGCCTTGTGAAGCCTGAGAACTACCGGAGACTTGACATCGCCAGGTCACTCTACGAAGATCTGGAGGACCACCCAAATGTACAGAAAGATCTGGTGCGCCTGACACAGGAACACATCACCAATCAGCCACCAGAAGAGGAGCTCAATGGAAATTAGCGTTCCTGTGTCTCAGCTTCTGCTGATACTGATGAGTCTTGCTCTAAAAAGAGGACTGGCCATTACTCTCAGCTTCACAGTATCTTCTTAATGAAATATACTACTTTGCTTGAAGGAAAGGTGGTTGACTCTGCTAGTTGTTGCTGTGTAGAGGGGCAAACATCAGTAAGAATCACTTCATTCCTGCCCTTTGTCGAAGTACTCATTAGGAGAAAATAGTTGTATTTTGTTCCTAGTGAGTTGGGCAACTTTCAGTGTAAGAGTGTTCGAATATGGAATTCGGTAAGAATTGCAGCATATGCTTTTACCCAGGGAGAAAGCAGTGGCTTCTGTTTTGACCTAATGTAATGTGGTTGGTGACATGCCCAGCTCCCAGTGGAAGAAGAGAGTAGGTCATCCTGGAGGCAAGGAGCGCTCTTTCTCTTAAGGCTCCGCTGCCTAGCTCAGTGCTGGTGAGCCGATGGCACATGTGCTGCAGAAGGCTGTTATGACTGCTCTGAAAGGTTCACCCTCACTGTCCTGAGCCTCCAGTCACTGGGGATCAGTGAGCAAATTAGGGGATGCGTCAGTGGAAAGGGTTCAGAAGGTTGGCATTATCTTCTGGTCAAGGAGGCCTTAGCCTGTGGCATGGTGGTGCACACCAGTAATCCCAGCACTGAGAGGCTGAGGCAGGAGCATTACTGCAAGTTTGAGGCCAGCGTGGACTACATAGTGAGACCCTGTGTCAAAAACCAGGGAGAAATCGTTTTTATGGAGAGTACTTTCTCTGATTTTCTAAGTCTCTCACCTTTCTTGGCCCACTTCTGTTGTAATACTGTTTTGTTTCTATTTCTAACCAGGATTGGTTTTCCCCAGTTACTGTGATAATAGCAATTTTGTAACTTGACATTTACACAAAAAATAGCAGAAAAGAGCTATCTTTTGTTTAATTCTAGTGTGAAAGAGCTGTGCTGTAGACAAATTGTCAGTTGTGGATATGTCTGTTAAATTTGTGGCATTTCCAGGCTGAGAACATAGCTCAGTGGCTTAGCACTCCTGCCTGGCAAGTGTGAGATCATGAGTTCAGTTCCTAGTACAAAAGTTTTTTTTGTGGCATTTCCAGTTGGTTTAGCATCGTTATTTGCAGGACCTGGTCACATCCTACCTGGCTGGAGGAGGAGAGGCTGTGGCCCTCCACTCCCACACCAGTTCCTCCTAACAGTATGTCCTGGAGTAGCCTGAGATGTAGTTTTGTGAATGTACACATCCTTTCTCACAGGCTGGACAGTAAGTCATGAACTCAAATTTAATACTTATATCAGACTTACTTTTTTGTAACTAATAGCATTTTATTTTTGTTTTTGTTTTAATTCCCCTGGGAAAGGCAAAATTTAAAAAGAAAAGTAGCCAGTTGCGGTGACGTACGCCTGTAATCCCAGCATTTAGGAGGCCGAGGCAGGAGGATTGCAGAGAGTTTGAGGCCAGCCTGGCCAAATAGCCATAGTGAGACCCTGTCTCAACAGAAAAAGAAAAAGTAAAAGGAGAAAGATTACTGTAGAGACAGTACTTACATACAATCACTGTTAACTTTCAAATATTTTCTCTCAGCCCTTTATAGGACACAGTTAGGATCGTGTAGTATGTACAGTTTTGTATTTTCCTTTTTCATTTAAGTTTATAACTTAAATATTCTCCCGTGTAATTTATAAGCTTTCCACAAGCATTACTGGCCCCCTTGAGATGAGAGTCTGAAGTGTGGACAGTGTTGCTAGTTCCGTGGGCCACAGTCCATGGGACTTAGGGTAGTGTCCCTCTGCCTGCAGCTTATCTCATTGCCCCAGTCAGCTTTGAGGGTGCTTAGAGAGTATCATGCAGCTCCCTGTAGGGTTTGGATTTTCCGTGGAGGTGGGTGAGGGAGGCAGAGGTCCCTGGATAGTGTGGATGTGGCTGGGGTCTGTGGGACCAGGAGGTGGCTGCTGCAGTGCAACACAGGTTTCCTGTTTCAAACTTGTTAGTGTGTCACACAGGTTTTATCTTTCCCTTGTTAAATACAAAATTTTAAGTACTGTTTTTTGTGTTGTCTAAAAGAAGATGGACCTATAACATGAAGCATGTATGTTTTAAATTTGGAATCTTGTAAATGTGTTAAGTGTATTGTTCTTAAGACACTGATATTTCCTATTTTGAATTTTAAAAAACTTGTGCATTAAATGGTGCTGAGCAAAGAAAACAGGCTGATCTGTTTTGCTGTTTTATCTTGGTTCCTCCAGGGGAGTTTGGAAGGGGCTTGCTCCATAGCTAGGGTGGGTAGAGGGATGGATGTGAGCCATCATCTCTGTGTGTGGGGCCCAGGTGGAGGCCTGTCCACAGCCCACTAGCCTCATTCCAACTCTCCCTTCCCAACCAGGGATTGCTCTGAAATTTAACATCATTTTGCCTAAATTTATTTTCTTACAGAAGTGAAATGCCACTGCAAAAAATTTATGCACTGCATAGAAAAGCGTTAAGAAGAAAGGCATTTGCACTGGGAGCAAAGGTGTCCTCCTCCCCTACCCCAACAGAACCAGAAAAGGCCAGAGGTCAGTATTTTTCCCAGTGGCTATGCTGAGAATCGAAGGAGGTGCCTGGATCCAGTGCAGCAGTAAGATGTGAAGTAGGCTGCAGTAGCTGTGGTGGGGCACTGGCCTGCTGTACCAGAGGTTGGGTGCCGTCCCCAGTACTGCCACAGTGACAAAGAACAAAGCGTGAGACTTGTTAGTGTTCTGCTTTCTGGGTGCATAAACCCCAAAGTGACCATTTCAGGAACTTGCACCCTAAATGGTGTCTTGGCTGGGGTATGACTCAGTGCTAGCACACTTGGCTATCATGCACAAGGCCTAGGTTCAATCCCCAGCACTGAAAACAAGGAAGATTTCCGCCTTCTATCCTTATTACTTCAGTCCTGCTTTCTGTCAGTCATTGGCTGCCTGTTTTTCTCCAGCTTTTCCCCTTTCTGTTGGCACACTTGGACTCCTCGCATCAAGAAAAGATTTTCTAGAAGCCAGCTGTGGTAGTGCATACTTGTAATCCCAACACTCAGGAGGCGGTGGCAGGAGGATCACCATGAGTTTGAGGCCAGCCTGAACTACATAGAGAGACCCTGTCTCAACAATAACCAAGTTCTTAGCCTCTGCACATACCCAGGAGTCCATTAGGCAGATCAGAGAAAAATCAGATACACTTCCATGGTTTTCCAAAAGATTGACCAAAGTGGGATATACCTATAATTCCAGCTACTGGGGAGGTTGAGGCAGGAGCATTGAAAGTTCAAAGCCAGTCTGGGTGATTTAGCAAGACTCTCAAAAAGAAAGGGTTTGTGATGCTTGCCCATAATCCCAGCACTTGGGAGGTTGAGGCAGGAGGATCACAGTGAATTCGGGGCCACTTTGAACTATATGGCAAGACCTTGTTGCAAGAAAACAACAAAAAAGGCCTCTTGGCTTAGTGCTCCATGGATTCAGTCCCCAACACTGCCCTGAAGCCCGTCTTTTCTTGTGGTTATTTCCTGAGCTATGCAGTGTAGTAAGTGCTTCCATAGCACAAATGAGAGACGAGGATGGCATAGGTTCTGTGCAGATTCTCAGCCATTGTAACTAGAGAATTTGGGCGCTCCACATGACACAGTGGGAAGGCGTTCTCTCTCTTCCTACAGTAAGTCCCCTATAATCAGCAGACCATGACTTTTCTAAGCATTCTTTTTTTTTTGTCTTTTTCCTTTTTATCAGTACCGGGGATCGAACTCACAACTGCCTGCTTGCAAGGCAGGTGTTATGCCGCTGAGCTAAATCTCCAGCCCGACCATGACTTTTCTTTAAGCACATGTACAGAGAGGGTGCAGAGAAGGTGCTGTACTGCCTTTCCAAGTTCCTGCTCTGCAGGTACTGGAGCCTACGGTGGAGGGCCTGAAAAAGCGTCTCCAGGGCTGCTGGATTGACCACCAGTGGTTTTTTTTTTTTTTTTTGGTGCTAGGGCTCAAATTCATGACCTTGCTTTTGCAGCTAAGTGCTTAAGCTACAGAGCTAAATCCCTGGGCCTGACCACCAGTTTTTAATCCAAAGCAATCCACCACTAGTTTATGGATGCTCTGCACATTTTGCAGGCACCACCCAAGTGGACAGCTGCAGTGTTACAGCCCCTTTCTGGGATATCCCTAAAGGATGTGGTGAAGGGAAATCATCACAGTGGGCAGAACTTGGGGCAGTGCGCTTAGTAGTACATTTTCCCTAGAAGAAGAAATGGCCAGATGAGACTATATACTGATTCATGGTTGGTAGCCAGCTGGATGGTCAGGAACTAGGAAGGAACATAATTTGAAATTGGTGACAAAGATATTTGGGGAAGACCTATGTGGATAGATCCCTTCTTATGGGCAAAGAATGTAAAAATACTTGTTTCCATTTAAATGTTCACCAAAAAGTAACATTAGGCCACCAAAAAGTAACATTAGGCGACCTGGCGGCAGGTTAATTATACTGGACCACTTCCATCATGGAAGGACTGCGCTTTGTTCTCACTGGCAGAGACATGTATATTTGCCTTGCCGCACATAATGTTTCTGCTAGAACTACCATCCGTGGATTCATAGAATGCCTTATCCACCGTCATGGAATTCTACTACATAGCATTGCCTCTGACCAAGGAACACATTTTACAGCTAAAGAAGTGAGGCAGTGGGCTCATGCTCATGGAATTCACTGGTCCTACCATGTTCCTCATCATCCAGAAGCAGCTGGATTGATAGGTGGAATGGCCTTTTGAAGACAGTTACAATGCCAACTAGGCGGCAATAGTTCGCAAGGCTGAGGTAAGATACTTCAACAGGCTGTATATGCTTTGAGTCAGCATCCACTAAGGGCATTGTCTCTCCCATGGCCAGGATTCATGGGTCCAGGAATCAAGGAGTGGAAGTAGGAATGGTGCCACTCACCATTCCAGGAAAAGAACTGAGACCTGCTGAGGTGCTTGCTGGAGGCAAAGGAATACAGAATGGGGAGTGGAAGGAGGAGGTTCTAAATACCAGCCACGACCGGTGATCAGCTGCAGAAAAGAGGATTGTAATTACTATTTCTCCCCAAATGTGGTTTTAATGTAACATAATGTTGATAGAGTTAAGGCTGGCTCTTGGGATTGTTAAACCTGTGTTATAATGTTAAAGTTATAAACTGATAGGAGTAAGCATCAACCAAAGAAAACTTACATTCCATTCTGGTAAGGGAATTAAGTGTGTTTCCATTGTACGCAGGATAGTTATAACATGTTAGGTGCAAATATATGCATGTCTTGGTATCTGGAAACTAGTTTAAAGAAACGTGTCTGGTTGCCAAGTTGACAGGGGTAGATTGTAGTGGTTGATTGATTGTGTCAACTTGAGACATTTAGAAATTTAACTAAATTGGCTGAACAATTCTACACCCTAGGGTGTAGAAGACCCGCTCTAGGGAGGCTCATCACCTGGAAGTATAAAAGAGAACAAGAAAGGACAAATGCATTCCATTCTTTGGAGGAGCTTCAGGCATACACAGGCCTTGGGCTTGGACTTGATCTCCTGGCTTTCAGTGTTCGTACACCCTTTAACTTTCTGGCATACACCCTTCAACCTTCTGTCACAGACCCATTGGCCTGCGGTGCAGACTTGCACTGGACACTGTGGTGAACTCCAGACCTTGGATTGAAGCCTTTAGGCTCCAGCATACAAACACCCTCTGCATACTTCCTCATCTAGCTCTGGCTGACCATTGTTAGCCAATCTTGTAATTTCTTATACATTTGTGTATCTCCAGCATTTGTTATTCGAAGACTGTGTTGACTAAGAATGGAGACAGTGGCCATGCTGGAACTTAGGATGCTGGGAAGCCAAGCAAGCACCTCCCCTCCCTGGTAAGCGGTGGCAGTGTGGCAGACTGCGACCCTTCCAGGGAAGAACCACCAGTGTCTCCTGAGATCCACGCCATGTTGGAACTTATGAAGCTGGGAAACCAAGCAACCAGCCTGCCTCCCTGCTAAGCAATAATGAACTTATTGGTGCACATTTTATTTTGATATATATGATTGAAAGAACAACGATTGTAAAGATAACAAAATATCCTGTGATACCTATTACTTTCCCGGTAACCTGCTGTGAAATTCTGTACCAATTTCACTGTATGATCTTAGTTGGCTTTATTTATTTATTTACTTATTTATTTATTTGTCTTTTTCCTTTTTATCGGTACCGGGGATGGAACTCAACGACTGCCTGCTTGCAAGGCAGGTGCTTATGCCGCTGAGCTAAATCCCCAGCCCTTAGTTGGCTTTATTCTGTCTTGTTCTGTTACATTTTACTACTTTCAAAATAAAATTAAAAACAAAAAGGAATGGAGACAGTGAACATCCTTGTCTTGTTCCTGATTTTAGAGTGAAAGCTTTTAGTTTTTGTCCATTTAGTATGATGGTGGCTGTTGGCTTGTTGATGGCTTTTAACAGATTGAGATAAAGATTATCTGTTACAATTTTCTGTAGGTTTTTTTTTTTTTATCATTAATGGGGGCTGGACTTTGTCAAAAGATTTTTTGTTTTTGGGGTTTTTTTTTTGGTACTGGAAATCAAACTCATAACCTTATGCTTGCCAAGCAGGCACTTAAGCTGCTGAGCTAAATCCCTGGCCCCCAACCCATTAATTTTTAAACAATGAGAGACTCTCAAGTCAATAGCAAACAACAATCTACATTTCATTTCCACAACGAATTTTACCATCATTTTGACCAGCTGGCAGCCCAGGTGGGAGCATTTTTTAAAAATCTATGACCCAAATTAAATTTTGATTAAATGATCCAAAAATGAAAAGAAAAAAAAGAAAATTGTTGAGCTCAAATAAAAAGAACAGCTGTTCACAGAACAGACAAATGGACACAAAGATGTACAATCTGTACAGATTGGAACAGTCATAGAGACAAGCACATAGCCTGTTGGTGTCTGTGAGAGCTCCTAAGTTACTGGTGGGCTATTTAAACAGCTGTCATGTTACACCCCTTTGCTGACCTAGGCCACTTCTTACCGCATGTTCTCGGGGCTGGAATGCCTGTCCACCTCCAGCACCCCATGTCCTTGGGCATTCCTCTGGTGCTTCATGCCCCAGGGGCACTCTGTACAGGCACTTGTGCTTTTAGCTCTGCACATGTGAGTGAACACTAGCTCAGCAGCTCCCAACACAGC